AGAAGTCAACTGTCGATTAATAGACTTTTTTGCCGTATGAGTATACGTTGCCCAGGGTGCACCACGTGGAGGTAGGTCTATTACACACAAATGAAAGATACCAGAAGATATAATGCGTAATCAATATTAAGAACTACTGCAATTAAGGAAATCTGAACCTATTGAACGAACATAAAATATTCTAGATAAAAACTGACACCATAGCGAATCTGACATATTTATAAATGATGATCATTTTAACAAACTGTTCTTTTATGATATATTTAGAACTCCCGTTAAATTAGGTCTTCTAGCTCAAGTCAACTTGTATATTTGTTAATGGTTATTTCATTTAAATCTGGGCATCTTAATTTGCTTTCAATTCAAATATGTATTATTTTACACAAATTTTCCATTTTTAAGTATAAAAATTTTGATCAGAACAAGCATGCCCTCTACGTATCGCACAGCATGTGTATATTTATTATCAGTTCAATCAACTTATTCTTTTAAAGCAAATTTTTAATGACATTATCTTTTAATTGTCGTCCAGGCTTACTGTTTTATCACGTACTCAATTCGATTAATTACAATAGTGATAAGGAAATTTTCTGCATCATTGATCAGAAAGGCATCGATAAGTTATTTTCCTTTAGAAAGACAGAGAGAGAGAGAGAGAGGAAGAGCTTGCAATAAGACCATATTAAAAGGATTTGAGTAGGCATAAGGATAAAGAATTGAAATTAAATACTAGACATTAGGTCCGCTGAAGAGAGTTTTTGCGTGGAGTGCATACTATTCCTATTAATAAATTAATGACCAAAGTCTAAAGAGGATGGAGCTTAAAAAGAGACATGTAAAAACAATTATGATTCGATAAGCAATCAAATATAAGTTTTGACTTTGGAAAAGTGTTCTACTAGGCTATTTGAAGTTTGTTTGATTTGTCAGGTGATCAAGTTCAACTAAATCCATATTAGTGGTATGAGAGATACTTTGATAGCCACTTTGATAGCGAAATTTCCGTAACTGACTAAAAACATTAGATTTATCGTATTAAATAGTATTAAAATTGCTCATGGAAAGATAACAAACGAGGAACTATTCTAATCAGATGATAGCAACTCAATAATATGAATAGCAAGATAATTCAACTGAGTCTTGTCTTGGCATCTTCTTACAAGAGGTGAAACTTGCCCCTTAGGTGCACAAACTTTCCACATTCTTCAATTCATTATTAGATTCCATCGATAACACTTTCAAGTCTGTGGCATTTAGAGCTTGTTAATAGGTTGATCGAAGTGGCCATGCCATCTCGCTCGTATGATATCTAGCAAGAAATCGCTGAATGTGATCTTCAGAGCTTGATAACTACTTTCCTACAGACGTGTGACACGTACACCTGTGGCACCTAATACAGATGATCAGAAACATAACGGACAGCGTGATATTAAGCATAATATATTTTAATTTTTTGACTTCAACTAAATATGATTGCAAATAAACAATTGGAAGTTTGAGCAGATTTAATTGAGAGAAAATCATGTGTACATCACCAATCTGATGTATCCTATTCAGCAATTAGAAGCGAAGCCCATTATAATTGGTTTAAGAACCCCCCTGGTCTATTAACCATGTGCTTTCACTTTCATAATGCAGTAATATTTCATTCGTTTAAGTAAGTGGAAGAAGAGGCAAAAACGACTGATAGTTAAAAGAGAAGAAGAACTCTCTATTTTGGAAAACTAATTTTATCTATTAAAAATGAAATATGACTATCCAAGAGAACTCTATCTGTTCTACTTTCTTAAACACCACTACATACCTAAAGTGCCAAACATCTCTATCGATTTCCATCCAATTAAAGAGAGATTACTTCAACATTACCTTCAATGCTGACATTGTATTTCATTCGAGTCTCTTCAAATGACCCTTTGAGAAATTACAAACAATGCCAACAAATCATTCTGAGCTGAGTAGTGATGAGGCACGATTTCCATGACCCCAATGAAACGCCAACTCTCGAGACAATGGAAAAAATTATCATATAGAGGGGATTCGAGACGAGAGGTTGTCAGTTTAGTCTACTCCTAAACAGCTTATAAGTAACTGGACTGGATTATCGTCTGGTTAGCGTGTGACCACTGTCAACTTAATTAAGCCGCATTGAATTGGTGCAATTTTTACTATTACAGAGTATTATATATATATATATATAAGGGGTGTGCGATAGACTTAACTCCACGTGGTGCACCCTGGGCAACGTATGCTCATACGATAAAAAAGTCTATTAATCGGCAGTTGACTTTTGACTTCAAACTACCAAGACCCCACTGCATTTCATATTCGACTAATTTCACAGTACTCACCTTTTTTCTACCTTTGTGTCTGTCTCCCTCTAGGCTTTTTGCCACTTTGATGTTCATCTTCCTTTCTGTGAAGCCCGAAGTCAACTAAAGGGTTAATGATACCTATCATAACGCCTGCCATCTGAAATAAATAAATATATATATTCACACATACAAGCCCATTTCAATCTTGAAGGCTAATTTTAGCTAAAGTCCGATTGGAGACTCTATGGCAGTAAGGTCTGTCCACACAGTTTACATGCCATGGTTATTGCTACTTATTGAAGTTTATTCTTAATTAAACCAATTTATTTTGTGCCTATCAGTGACATTCTCCGTGAATATCAGCATTTTTCAACTCCGTTTGCTTTTCACTTATGTGGTTAAGCAGGCAGACAACAAAAAGAGAGAGAGAGAGAGTGAAAAAGAAAATATATTAAAAAAATGAAACTAAGAAGCTAACATAATAGAAAGCTCTTTAGGCCTCAATCTGGCCTAATTTGCGGCGAATGCAATTAGTGATTGATGCCTTCTTGTTGCCAACAAAGCTTTCAACTTCACCATCACAATAAACTTTTGTTGTTGGAAGGCGAGTAATTCCGTGAGCCTTTAAGCTTTTCTTTTAAATAAAACAATGTAGCAATAAATCAATGTTTTCCCTTTCATATCAATCACAAAACATTGAAAATATATTTACCATACAATCCTCCACTTCTACTTCAACATATATTGGTCCATCGATCTCTTTGGCTATGTCTTCGTACACACTCTTGAACCTTCGACTATACCCACAATATGCTCCATAAAACTTACAGACAACAAGCCTGTTTTCTTTTATAAGGGATTCGAGGACCTGGTGGGGAAAAAACAAATCACAATTTTCGCACAATATTTTAAGAATCCGATTTAAAAAGAATAAAAAACTGGCATATCTCAAACCATTACATCACTTTGCTACTTACATCACAGTTTATTGCCTGTATTTCAGACATTTTCTTCGAATATCTTCGTAAAATGGAAACACCGAACCTTTAATACCTTTCATTCCCCACTTCAAGGTCATTGCTCATCCTACAAATATTGGCACTTTAGTTTCCACTTTAGTACATTAAAACAAATATACACATATCATTCAAGATTTTCCTTATAACATCCATTGGTTTTGAAAAAAGGTTTTATTTTGGTGTATGATACAATGTTTGCTGGAGTAATTTAGTTAAGAAGTACGAAGGCGTCTTCTTCCTCATTCTATTTCAATAAATCAGAGACCCAAGTTCGAGTTTTGTATGGATTAAGCCAGACTTAATCCTTCATTTTACAAGGTGTTTAACCTATGTGAGTGGGCGGATATGTTATAATTTTGTTCTAAATGTCATATCATGAAAGCAGGCCACCTTCTATTGGGAGTCGTATTTGGTTTCCGTTAAGTGAGACACGAAGTGCTATGTGACGGACTGCTTGGTAAAGTTGTGCTGACTCGCAGTGCGGAAGTGTAAGGGTGTTTTCCAGTGACTTCGCTCATGCATTTATAATTTCGTGAATTGGAACAGAGTATAAGCTTTGTCCAATCAAATCTGCTGCATGAATTAGAATTGTTTATGGGGATTTTTCTATTACAAATAATAGTTGCTGATGTATCTATTTATTTAAAAGAATACTTTAAATGCTATTGACCTGATAGGCGGAAGTATATCTGTAAGGATGGCATTTGGGCATACGTTATGAAATTTGTTTCACAAGATTACGAATCTTTGCACTTCCGCTACTCGGTTCAAAAATAAACATTTCGCTAGCATTTCTGTTTTATTGAAATAATGCAAAACAGACACCCTCTTAATGGAACATTTGCTTGGATACGGTATTGTTCCAGAAGCGCTAATTAACGATGTATGAGTGGTGGCTAGAGGTGGTAAGCAACCAGAAAGAGCAGATTATAATAAAACTAGTTTAGAATAGAAGAGTTACAAACGATACTGTTGATTTAGCTATGGAACATTTATTTATTTCAATTGACAGGTGTTTCGATAGACATAATTAGCCCTTTTGCTGACTTTGGGCTTAACTAATTAGAGGAACATAAAAGTCACAAATGCCGAGAGGGGGAACAGATGAGTGATTAAGAGTTGTAGTAGAGGAAGAGAGGCACAAAAGTATCGAAAAAGGTAAGATCAATACTGTGGAATTTTTCGAATGCGACATCCGGTGCAGACATAGTAATATGGGGTTAATTTCGGATGTGTATACCTTGCCCATGGACCATTACGTGTGTCTACGTCTATCGCACACCCTTTAGAAATAGAGACAAATTAGCAAAACATAAATCCTAACATTGAAATAGGGAGTTTATATCCATTAAAAATATTTTGAAATTAGAAAAAAATTAGGAATGTGGAGATGTTTGTGATTGCTAGCATAAGTTTAAAATGGAAATCCAGTTGCAATCTTTATATTATTATGATTTTTAACAAATTATGTAAAAAATCTCAGCACTTTTATATTCTATTTGAAATTGTTTGGTAAATTTGTGTTTGGATGATGATAGCCTTTACAATATATTTAAATTTTCGTAATATTGAAAAATGAATTTCGTAAGATCGGTGACCTAAGGTTGTTTTGTTGAGCCACAGTTCATAAAAATCTAACGGCGTTTTTTAAGAGTTTATTGGCGTGTCGATGTCCTCCGAAGCTGTTAAACATATTCGTAGGGAGGATGTGAGTGTTCTTTTCCAATCACCTTCTTATTTTCTTTTACAGGAATTTGAGAATCTTATCAAGGAAGATAAATTAGTCGTATGCGATTTCTTTGCTACCTGGTGTGGTCCCTGCAAAATGCTTGCTCCGAAACTGGAAGGTCTTGCTAAAGAGCACAAAAATGTTGCCTTTGTTAAAATCGATGTAGATGAATTGGAAGTGAGTTTTGTTTGGAACTAGATGCACTGTTTGCTATCTTTTTTAAGGTCTTATTTTCTTTTAGGAACTTGCTATGAAATATGAGATTGAGGCTATGCCAACTATCCTTTTCTTCAGGAAAGGCGATAAGCTCGCTACCGTTAAGGGTGCCAATATTGATGAAATTAAGAATCACATTGCAACTCTATAGGCAACATTGTTTGTGTAATGTTTAATTGTTGAACTTTTATACTGCCTTCCCTGGGCTCACATTCGTTTAATAAATTGGAGTTGATTTCATATTGAATTTTTTTTGCAGATATGAAGAACAGTTAGTATAATATTTAAAATCGGATTGACTTGTTTATCTCTGTTCTCATTGGGGTGGTGGATTTATTCATCTGTTGATTTAGGTATCACCACTTAATTGAATAAGGATTTATCTGGTTTGCTTACTATATTGGTTGATAATTGACGTGTTTGGAAAGTGGTGCACTAGGTAAAATGTTTATCAAAGGTAATGTTGACCTGAATATTTGCCATTCAGTCGTAATTGTAGTCGCATATGTCATGGCGCTTTTGATATGTCTGAAGTGTGCCACGGTTTGACGTTATTGTTCGAAAACAGTCGATAAGCCAACTGGATTTAGAAGAAGATGGGAGTAAGATGATTCTTACAGTTAACTTTATAGTGGCTTTGTTCACGCCAAACTGAATTTGTTAAATTCAATCAGCGCATGAAAATTTTCAGCAAACATAAAAATTTAATTATTGGAATACGAGTCTACATGAATGCATTAAAGTTGAGTAGAATATCGTGAATACATAAACTTTTTGTATTTTCGTGGGAGGAATATATGCTCATGATATGAAATTGATAATTATTGGATTTAATAGTTGTTTGTAAATTACAGTTGTACTTTTTAAATCCCTATTTTTTCAAAACAATCATAATCGTCTAAATTGTGTTAATGGTTTTGTCTTCATAATTAAAAAAAAGCATATTTTACGACTATTATGATGCCAGTTATACTCAATTAATGTGACCTCAGTTTGTTTTATAGAACCACATCTAAATGTATAAGATCAAGCACTTTTGTGAAATTACCTAAAATGGCGTCTGCCGTAAGGCACATTTCGGACGAAAAGGTGATTTAAAATTACTATGCAACGTAAATCTGTTTAAATTCATATGATTTAAAATTTATTTAATACTTTGACAGGAGTTTGAGGATCTTGTCAAGGGTGATAAGCTCGTTGTATGTGATTTCTATGCTACTTGGTGTGGACCTTGCAAAGCTCTTGCCCCAAAACTGGAGGCTTTAGCAAAGGAGAAAACCTCCGTTGTATTCGTCAAAGTTGATGTAGATGAAATGGAGGTGCGTTTTTATATTTAATCGTCTTCTATTATCTATTCATTTATTTCATTTATTTACCATTTTAGGATCTAGCTCAGAAACATGAGGTATCAGCAATGCCTACGCTCATTGTTTTTAAACGTGGTGCCCCTGTTGGTCGCTTTATTGGAGCTGACATAGAAAAAGTAAAGGCTGCAATCGCTGAACATTCGGAATAATTTTAAATTTCGCTATTAGAGGATCTTAATAAATACTTCTTTGTGTTTGTGCATTTGTTAAAAGAATTTATGTAGATCAATAAATATTTATATTGTTATTCATTAATTATTCTATTGAAATTTTCCACCTTGCTCGCCCACACCGCTGCTTCCATTATTAGTCCCTTATCTCATGCGCATATTCATTCCGATCACTAATTGGCCAGTTGTCCTGTAGAGTGCCTCATTGCACTATGTAGAACAGGCTCTCTGTTAATGACCACATCCAAATGTAAAATGCACCAAGTTGTAGCGGGTTGCTACTTTATTAAAGCCTGACCGACTCAGAAATTTCTATGGCAGATTCTCCAACATCTAGCTAGACTCCCAGAACAAGTTAAGCTATAGCCCAGCTATGAAAGAAACAGACGTGTAGCACGGAATACGTTTATTCGGTACGTATATTGATAGCGAAGTGTAATGTTGGCAAAGCGATTAGTTATCAGATGACTCTAGCATAATTCGCGTGAATATTAATAGCTAAATATTTCTGAGTAGTATTCTATAGAAGGATTTCTCTTTGGTCATTGATGGAGTGTCCCACAAATTGTTGAACTTTTTATTTGCAACCAGATTGTGCACCAACAGGCTTCACTGAAAGAATACGTCAATCTTCTGTAGCGATATTTTGTTGTTGCGTAATTGATAACTTCCGAAAAGGTTTCAAGAGCTGATTTTGATGTTATATGATATCTTGAGAGCCAAGCCACCTTAGACAGATTACGCTTGTGTGGGAACAGTTTAGAGAATGGAATACAGCTCGTGTTTAAGGGTCAATTTTGCTTATTGGGGTGTTGTAGATATCACCTTGGCCCCCGGGCTGTCACTTGAACTCTCACTTAAGATAGATGTTTGTGGAGAAATGAGAATATTTGTTGTTGGTCTTCGAGCAAGTATTTCGGATTAAAAAGCTTGGCAGCTTACTGGGAGTAATAGAATAACAAGGGCCTAGTCTTTGTTGAATACTTCATTGAGTTGTAAATTCAGAAAATTGTTTGATCTTTTATGTTAAATGCTGACGTTGTTCAAATCGTAGAATGGAGGGACGGTGACTGGCGACTAGTCGACAGGTAGAGGTAATATACCAAGGAAAAGAAGAGTCCACAAATGGTATAATTTGATGTTTTGGTTAATTTATTTGTGCAGAGATTGTGGTGACTATTTAGAAATAAAGTGGAAGTTAGTATTTATGAGCAGCTGAGAGCAGGAGAGGAGTGAAGTGAACTTGAATCTTGGAATTTGGCGTGACCACGAGAGAAACTAAATGTGTGCCTTCAATGAAGTCGGAATGTCCAATTTTTCACAATGGGTGATGTGCACTTTCAGTGATCAAATATTAGAGCCTAATTTCTATGATTTGATGTCCAATTTCGTGAGTGTGTTCTTTCCACGTTATTTAGAAGCCTTCTGACCAGTTGGGTCAATTGAGTGGTTGATCTTGTCACTTTGATGCATTTGTATTTCTTACATTGATGGGTTGGTAGTGGTGACTGGTGGAAGTATATTGAACAGGACTCAAACACTCTTCAGATTTGCCTGGAATTTCAGGTCGGGTCCTTATAAGTTTAGCGAGTTGCGAATGTGTTAGTCACTAGGCGCTTTATCTACTCGATTGAAATGATAATGGTCGAATTGTAACTGCTACGTTATAAGAAGAAACTTGGATCAGAACTGCTAAAATAGTGAGCTTGTTGACTCTCCAGTCAGTTTAATTTAATCGAAAATTGCCATTGTCTATTTCACAGGATGAAACAGACTCTTTATCCATGGTCAACATGGCACTGTCGCAAATTTAGCGAAAGGATGATAGAAAGAAAGGAGTGCTCAATCCAATCGGACATCTGAATAAATTCTTTAATTTATCGATTGCAACCCCCCCCCCCCAAGATGCCTTCGAGGTACTAATATTTGCCCACAATGAAATTTCCAATCAAATCTACTAATGGATAGTATCTGAGTAGTTGATACCGATAAGTGTCAGTGACCATTTCACATCCCTGTTACCAGATCATGGAATGACCACTTTGTTTCAACAATTTAATTGCAAGTGAATTTAATTTCTTATTTTCTTTTATTTAACAATGCAATTCTAATGTGAGTTTTTTAAGATCGATTTTCAAATTATTTTCATGATATTGATGATCAAAGATCTTTAAATTTCCAAGATATGCAACCTCTCTAGGTCGATGATATTGCCTTTCTCAGTAAAGCCCCCCCCCCGGCTTAAAATGATGTACTTTTAATTACGCACTTTCTTCGGACTTCTAGCGATTTAAATTAGATTTATGATTTTCTTTAAGGAATTTCTGACTATTAGGGAGAATTTCCCCTAATCGTCTTGGTAAATATGCATCAAATATTTCAAACATTTCATTTCAAATAAGTACACGCAGAGCTTTGCTCAGATATATTTCAGCTACTATTTTTCACTCAAATTATGTTAAATTTGTTTGTTTACAATTCACATATGCCGATTTCATAAAGGTGTTCTCTAACAAATATCTTCATTTTGTCTTTGAATTTCCTCAAATATTTATTCGAACAAAAATTTTGCATAGCTCTTCATGCTTCTTTTCGAGGTGATCTTGCCATCACCCATATAAAAGATCAAGTGCATGAATCCCAAGGTCATAACGCTAACTCCTTGACGATTGAACGAGCTACCAAATTTTTATATTTCAGAAATCCTGTAATCTGTTACACATGCCTAATTTTTATGCTTATCATAAATTCAACACACAGACGGCATAGCTATCGATGTGATAACTTGGGAGACCAGATGAAGCTGGCCTCTTCTGATTTTCTCACTTTCACTGCAACGATCAAAATATTAACATATATCCCTCTTTAGTGAAATTGCCTTTCCATTGAGTTTGGAAGGGTAGTGGATAGTACACAAGTAAGCTTTAACTAAACTTCAACAGACCTATCTAAGGAAAATTCTCCAGTACAAAATTACCTCCGAAATGAGCTAATTGCCTCAGCGATATCGAGGAAATAGAAAACATGGCTCAAATAGCTTTTATTACAGCTCGTCGGCTACTGACGTTAAGCTAAATCATTAAAATTCAATTAGTGCTGCGTTATTTTGCAGCGCCTGTCGCCTACTGATTGGCTGAGGGGTCTCCGCACTCACGACCGCACTTGGCCGCTACGCCATCAGCAGCACAGCCGCACCAGCTAGGCCGCTCAAACACACACTCTTGGCGGCATTGAGCGCTCCACAGGTGCTTCCACATGATAAAAGTTGTAAGGCGCTTTTTTATGCCATGGCAACTAAATGAATGAACTACTAATTCATTAATCGGGGGTGTGCGATAGACTTACCTCCACGTGGTGCAGCCTAGGCAACGTATACTCATACCGCAAAAAAGTCTATTAGCCGGAATCTGACTTATGACTTCAAACTATCATCACCCCACTGTACGTCATATACAACCACTTCCCCAGTTCTCACCTCACCTTTTTTCTACCTTTGCGTCTGTCTCTTTTTCATCTTTGAAACACTCTTCTGCCCCCCTCCCTCCTCGACTTTTTTCACTTTGATGTTCCTCCCTTCTGTGAAGTCTGAAGTCAACTAAAGGACCAACGATAACTATCAAAACGCCTGCCATTTGATATAAATAAATAAATAAAACGTTGCAATAATCTTGCTTTACAAAAAACGGTAAATTTCAGGCATTTCTGGGCGCGTTATGGAAACATTTTCGAAAACTCATAACCAAAATTTCGACAGTTTTTGCTTTTTGTCCTGTCATCTCATTCATATTTGTTTCCTCAGTTTCATTTATAGCAATGCATTCACGTTTTTGCCAGCATCATAGTTTCAGTCAGATTTATCCATAACTGAAAAATATCCACTAGGATTGATTGGAAAACGTTTGAATTTGTGGAGGGAATTTCGAAAGAATGCCTGGGAAGTACACTGGGACTCCATATTGGTCAAAATTTGAACATTTAAAGGAACAAAATTGAAAAAAGACACATTGAGAATTGGATTATCCTCTACATAGTTTTAGAAAGTGTTAAAGGTATTAAAAGATTTCAGTTGAGCTATCTGAAAACGGAAAGAAATGGTAAGAATTATGGGGTATTTGGAAGATTGCTTAAAAATTTTGCTGTGTTCGACTCAAAAAATTTTAGTTCGATTATTGAGTTATTGCATCTAAATGTCGTAAAAAACAGCCTCAACCTCAAATGATCGATTCTTGTCTTTCAACTAAATTGATTTTCTGGTGCGGAGGTGGGGG